TAATTTTGGGAAACTCCCATTTGACTTCTAAGACTTGGGGCTGAAGATTTGGGGCTTAAGTTTGAGGTTTATAGGATCAGGGGCTTAGGGTTTGGTGCTCAGCTTCATTTGAGTTTAGGATTTAAGATTTCGGGTTAGGGGCCTAGAGTTTGGGGTTCATTCAGGTTTAGGATTTAAGAATCCCCCATTTTATGATGAAATATTGAAATATTGTATTCCTTGTTGGAAGGATACTGGGATCCGAGTCATAGGGAGCTACAAAAAAGTCGAAAGACATGCTGACTTGAATAAAGGGACCCCTCAGAAAACAAATGCTGGAAATCTTGCCTGAACCCTCATCTTTGTGTGCTGTAGCTAGGGGCCCCGATATTAGATATTCCACACGAGAAGCTTGACATACTGAAAAAGCATATTTGATTGGGGGGTGGGATGGGGTGAGGAGGTTTAACGATTAGGCGAACGGTTTTACTTGCAGAGCAGTGGGCGGGCTAGAGAAGGGCTAGAGGGAGAGAGAGAGAGAAGCAACCAAACAACAACAGAACCACAGTCCAACATATTTTGCTGCCTTCAGGGAGGTAAGTCATCCCTGATTCAAAGTGCACGTTTTTGAGACCCCAGCCTTTGGAGACCATTGGCTTCACCCCAAACCTTGACTCCCAACCCATGCCCCCTTATGCCTTGAATCTATAAGCCCTGAGCCTTTAATCCCAAATCCAAATGCCTAGTGGCCCGCTCTCCTAGATCCTGAACTCCAAACCCTGAACCCCATGCACGAACCCAGGGCGCTCAGAGAGCTCTGCTGACTCGAGCCTGAGACGCCAAACGTCATCTTCAGTCTATGAAGTTTGAAGGGATTCTACGGTAGTTCTCTTAAAGGAGGACGCCAATGTAGACCCTAATGCATTAAACGAAAAATTATGGGGACCCCAAAAGAATACCCCTAATCTTGGGAAATCCCATATGAGCTTGCGCCAAAATGCTTGGTCCCAGAAGCGGCCGCATCTTAGGGGGTATCGGTGTTGGGTTTCCCCTATCGGTAAACAGCGTTTGTTAAGGGGGTATGGGTGTTGGGTTTCCCCTAAGGGTAAACAGGGTTTGCGTAAAATTATGAACCATGGCCGCCCGAAGACAAGTTCCTTTCATGGAGATTAATGGTTGTGGCTCATATGAGATTTGGTAGGAGCTTTGTAGTTATGACGTTGCAGAATTGCAGGAGCTGTGCGAAGGTTGCCCAAAATCATGGGCCGCAGGTATCGGGATAAACAGAAGTTACATTGACTGAAGGATCTGCGTGTTTGCGTATATAGTCTCCCTTAAGCAGATAGAATATTGGGTATATGGGGATCTTATTATAATATACCCACGGCCATATTCTATCTACTTAAACTACCAGTACAGAGGCAGTTTGGGCTGATATTGGTCGTGAAGTTTGTGGGATTTGAACTTTTCATACAATGAGAACAAACCACCATCGAAAAGTGCGGGATGCCCTTCTGTGCAGGAGTCGGAGCAGCTCAAGACTAGGACAAAGACTTGCTTCATCTAGCTTGGAACCCGAAAAGAAGCCTACTGTGTTTTAAAGGACGCCTAGAATACAAGGTTCCATATTTGTCTGGCAATGAATACACCCAAGGAGCTGCTTGAGGAGCGCATCCTCAACTTGCAGCATGCTCGGCAGCTTTTCCTCACTTCGACCACCCGGCTTGAAGGGGAACTGCTTCTGCGGCTCCTTGATTGTCTGGTTCAGGGTTTACTGGTACCTAAGAAGTAATGGACGAATGAGAAAAAAAGGGAAACGATTAGACAGTTTTAGGTAAAGGGCTCAGGACCGTTTGGACTTGGGGTTAGGGCTTAGGATCTTGCTTGTCTGGTTTAAGGCCTCCGGGCTAGGGTTTGAGGGTCGGTTCGGGGTTATGGAGGAACATTTCCACAAATCAGCTTGTGGCTCTGAGGAATCCACACCTGACCATCTCCAATATGGGACTTTCTCAATGTGGGGGAGGCCCTGAGGACCCCAAGGGATATAGCTATTGTAACGGGTCAATGTAGGTCGTTATTGCGGATTCCATCAGATTGTTTTGAGAAAGAACCCCTCAACAATATGCTGGCACTTGCTGCTAACACATGGAATACTTCAGACTTACGCACTTGTTCGAGTAGCAAAGCCCCTTTCCTTTGACCCATCTGCCCACATGATAGACTTGTTCTTTCCGACACAGCTGCCGACTGCTCATCATCCCATTGCAGGTCGTACCTTGGTTGTGCTCTTTAACCAAAATACGGCGGGCCTTCCTACAAACAATCAAAGGTGCTGGACCCATTTCTGTCACATATTCTCTCATCACTAGTTGCGCCGCGGCTATCATTTTCTCATTTGCTCCCTCCACAGCATGTCATATCCAAAGGTATTCTCAGACTTGGGGGCCCTAACTGCTTTTCAGCACCATAGGCACTCTCCGCGAACCATTCTCGCGGAAGCGCCTTCTATCCAGGCAGTCCCCGCCATTTGTTTTCATGCCCCGGAATACTGTGCCAGCAAAAATCCCCAGCACAAGGACTGCCCAAATGAGCTCAATTCGGAGGCAGTAAGCAGTAGACCCGACATCCAAGCCCTAGCTCCCAAAGTGCACAGTCCCCTACTTGCACGACCAGGGAACTAAGCTATCTTTGATGCCAGTCCTTCCCACGGTTTTTTGGGGCACAGGCTGGAGCGGCTGCCCGGCACAACTGAAACAAACCCACTTACTAAGTTCCCCTGATCCCCATTGAAAGCCTAAACATGAAAATCATACAGTAATTCCCCATCTTCTTTTTCCCTAAACCCTAAACCGAGGTCACCCGGACCCTCCAAGTACTTCAACAGATCCAGGTGCATGCTGTCACCGGCCTTGCCTTCTTGGGTTTTCCACTTCCGGCTGTCCTCGTCCAGGATCTATAGGGGCTCGGGTAAAGAGCTGTTGGGAGGCTCTCTCTGTTCTGGCTTTAGGGTTTAAGCTTTCCGAGATGTTGGGTTAACGTTTTCTGATGCTTACGGCTTAGCTGATCGGGGGATTAGGGGGTCTTGAGGTTAGTGTTCGGCCAAGTTTGGAGGTTTGGGGATTCAGCTATTTGTGAGTTCAGGGCTTGGGGTTCTGAGCACGAAACGGCTGAATTTCTCCATGTGGGGCCCTCTCAGATGAACCTTGGCGCCCGCAGCGGGACCTACGATGCGATGCTGCCATACGCATAAAGTCTTCGAATTTCCACACTCTGCGGATGTTGCTTCAGATTTCGTAGCCCTAGGCCCTAAGACATGTTGATCTATGTTTTTCCTGATTTGTTGTTTGATTTTGGGGCCCTTGCGAGTGCAAGGAATTAGCTGAAGCTAGACAAGACCTCATCGCCCGGAACCAATTCTTTGGGGAACTGACTTCACCAAACTCTACTGGAAGATCCACTACCAACCTTGCCCTAAACCGCTACAGCTGTGTATCCAAAGTATAGTCAACCAGGATCTCTGAACCCTAAGTGAAACCCCAAACCGTACTCCAAAACCCGGAGGGGGTGCCAAGTCGCTAGCATCTCTTCGAACCAAAGGAGGATGCGCCGCCACCTGTTCAGACATATCTGGAGGATTTTTGGTATAGGGTTTGGGATAATCTCCCCCTCCCAAATACGACCGCGTGAACCGAGCAAACCTGACCACCAACACATTGCCCCAAACTCTGTCTAGTTAACCGTCACTCTTATACAGGGGCCTAGGCAAGGCTTTGTGCTGGGCTATTTGATAAAGAACCATGCGGCAATTGTTGGTCCGTCAGCGAAGTCTAAAACCCTGCGAAGCTCTGCTACCTGACGGCCGCACTATAGCAGCAGGAAAGGATATTAGGTGTAAACTTTGAAATGGAATCTACATAGAAACATCAGAAAGGCTCAGCCCAACGCTACTGGTTGCGGCCCGGCCGGAAAAAGCCTCATGCCCTGTCTCGTTCGAGATGGGTGGGTTCGCATTGCTAGAAATCTGGCAGCCCTGAAATCCAGTATTGTCACTAAACCAAAGCTCACAACTCGAATTCCTCAACCAAGAACCTCAAACCCTACAGAGGGGTTCAGAAATACTTGAAGGCGCGACGAGAAGCCAGGTGGCTATACTGATTTGTGTTTTTCAAAGTGGCCTATAAAATACAACTACCCAGACCCCTGGGCGGANNGGGTACCATATTGGGGGTTCTACTTCCTAGATCCTCCCAGGGGTCTGGGTACTCATGAACCTTTAACTAAGCCCACCACCTGTTCAGGCTTCAAGTCTCGTGGTCCACTAACAAAGTGGATGTTGGTTGCCCGAACCCTTGCAACAATGGCTTTAAATAAGAGTCAAACGAGCCAAATGATAGCTAGAGGCTCCTCATGCCAGTGGCTAGGGACAACAAAATCCGCTGATTACAGTATTCCGTCTATGATACTCTGCAAGCCTTCCTTTCCCCCGCACAATGACATCTATCTTCCCATTGGGGTTACCAGAATCCCCTTAGTACACGTAAAGCCCCATGTAACCACCCAGTATAGGCTGACTTTCCAGGTAGTTTTCCATTTGCTATCAATGTGATTCTCCACTTTAGGGGCTGGGGTTACCAAAAAATCCTTTCAGCACCGAATGAACATCCCTGTGTAAAGCCGTGTATGAACCCGGTTTCCAGTTTATTTTCCATTTGATTTCCCACTTAAGTAGCTAACAATACCCAAATTTACTAGCTATACACCCTACGTAACCCTCGGTAATCCTTGTGCAACCCCTACACAATCCTCAACCCTAAACCCTAAACCCACCTCTTCAGGGCCAGAGCCTTGTGGCGGCCACCCTCCATGGCTTCCAGTGCAAGAGCCCTGTCGCGCTCTGCCTGATGAATGGAAGCCAGGATTTAAGGGTAAGGGTTTAGAGCTTAGGGTTTAGATGGATTCAGGGTTCAGCGTTAAGCGTTTGGGGTATAGGATAATATTGGTGTAGGGCTTGAGGTTCAGAATGTAGGTTCAGAGTGTACGTGCCGTGCATGGACAGCCAGGAATTCTCCAGATCAGGGGCTTTGTTTTGATATCTCTCTGGCGATTATCACAAATTTCTGGCAGTTACATGGAGGACCTGGGGCACAACCTGAGACCGTTTGTGCCTACAGCAGATGCACTTATTGTCAGAGTTCAGCCCAGCGACCTTGCACAAGGCCCTGGACCGCAAGAGGGAGTGAAGGTATAGGAGGGAATCGCCCCTGCACTGGGTAATACCTGCACCCTCATCCACGCACAACCTCCTGGTGCTTCGGGGAAGTGGTATAGGGATTCACTTAATTCCAATTCCAAGGTATATTGTGGGGAGTATTCAGGATGTGAATCATTCCTGCTGAAGCACTACTGTAGTAGACAAATCATCCCACGGCGCCTAAACCCCTGAAATTGATAGACCATTACCCTAAACCCTAAACCCTAACCCCGAAGCCCTAAACCCTATATAACCCCATTATAGCTGTTTCCATTTTATTTTCCATTGTCCCAATATAACCCCAATGTAAGACCCTAAATCCTGAACCCTAATGTTCAGCTTGTTCCCACCTGGATGGAGCCCAAGCCTTGCCAATTCTGGTCAGCGGGGCCCTTGCAGGCAGGAACCACCTTCTCCTTGGCTACAGACACTCCTCTAAGGATAGAAGTGTTTCGCCCCTAACATGGGCCCTGAGGCCTTTTAGGGGGGATTCTAGGGACCCTTAGGGGTACATATGAGGTATATAGTAGGAATATAGAACTCCGGCTCTTACCCTCAACTATTGGCATGCCAGCTCTAAGGGGACGAAGCCCAAACTTTCAGAGCTTGAGCCATGCGGACACCACTAGCAGCAATCATGATAGTAATAGTACTACCAATACTATTAGGAGTAAGGCTTATCACTAAGAGTAATACTAATATTGCTAATAATACGTAATCAAAAGGGTTCAATAAGCAAATATGTGGCCTGTATGCGGCCATGTCAATACCAAATGTCTGCTAGCAGGGTGTGGAGCAAGGTGCAAGCAAGCGCATGGTCCTTAAACTGCCCCACCCCGAAGCAAGTCCTTGTTGCGAGGAACCCGGAAGAGCGCAAGAGGCTGACAACTTTGAGAGATATCATCACATCAAAGTAGTTATGCTAATACTCTTGGGGGATAATGGAAAAGAAAATGGAAACTACCATAATGGGTTATATAGGTTTAAGGTTTTGGGTTCACCCCTATAATGGAGAATCAAATGGAAAACAACATCGAAAGGGGTGTTATATAGGACAACCCGGACACAAAAGGAGCCCAGCCAACATTGACCGAGTATCCACTTCAATGCGGACAGACACCGGGCCGCTGGTATCTGGCAAGCCGGTGTACTTCCCGTCGCTGTAGGCACTATGGATGTCCTTCTCCTGGGTTGCCATTGAGGCCTACGCTGGTAAGTTTATAAAGCAAAAGAGCTGTCATGAGGCAGTTGCAAGGCCTAACGGCTCAACTCACCATTACCTATAATCGACAGATGTCCCTCGTCCCTGAGGGCACGCGTTTGACGATCCTTAGACACTAAACCGTATGGACTAAGTCACAGGACAGGAATCCAGAACTTCAGGCTACGGGAGCCTATCCGCATGGGGCGTAGAGAAGTTTTATCGGGGATGCCCTATATAGGGCTTCATTTGGATACAGGGTCCAATAATGGGAGATCAAATGGACAAGAACATGGAAAATTAAACGGAAGCATTACAGGACGCAGTGTCTAGTCTTGATGTTGCCCTAAAGAAGTGCCGAAAGGTGGAGCATCTTTTGAAGAGTCAGGGAGAGTAAGAAAGTAGGTTAATCATGGGGATAACGGGCGTTATTGATTACATGGCAATGGCTGATGAGGCTTTAGGACTTTAGGGTTTACAAACACGCTTGCTAAGTTTCCGTGACCCTCTGAGTAGTAGAACTCATGTCAGAGACTTTGTATACGTTTTTTCGCAGTTGGTCTCTGAGCAGCCAAGCCTCCATGTCTCGGATAGGCACTCCTCCCCTCAGGATCACCTGGCCATTCTGGAAGGCAAAGTGTCCCGCTACAGTGGCCAACCCTCCCTAAACCCTAAACACCCCAAAAAGGGCTCCTTCGAAGGAGATCTAGGTTTTCCATAGCGTTCCTATGAAGAGTGTAAATCCGCTATGCTCCCTCCCACCAACATGGAAGCTAACATGATGCCCTTTCCAAAGAGTGGTACCCTTGTAGAGCCCTCTTTGGGATTCATGTTAGTCAGGGGAGTGTACAAACAAGCAGAGCTAGCCTTCATGCCGGGGTTTAGGGTTTAGGACCCACAACCATCTTTCCAGGGCCTCACCGGCCCATTCAGAATGAAAATTGGTTTACCAACATAATTAGAATGCACAGCGCTCTGGGATAGTTTATGCTGTCGGATTGCAAGTACAACCCTACACAGAATTTAAGGAAAACATACCCCACAGCTGAGATTCACATTGTACTTAGCTTCCTCTTGCTCAGCGTCCTCTCCCCCAAATCCTAATCCCTTAATGTCGCACCCTTTTTAATGGAGGCATCCGGAATAATGAAAAGTTTCGGGGAAATTATTCAGAATCAGCTATTGTTTGA